AGTACCGCCATTTCCGTACGTACCACTCACAGCGTGTGCGTTGGCCGCCGCGTATGCATTGGAAACAGTTTTACCGTCCTTGCCGTACGTCCCACTTGCAGCGTTTGCGTTTGCCGCTGCGTGTGCATTAGAAACTGTTTTACCGTCCTTTCCGTACGTCCCACTCAAAGCGTTTGCGTTTGCAGTAGCGTGCGCGTTAGAAGAAGCAGTACCGTCCTTTCCGTACGTACCACTCACTGCGTTCGCGGCGGCCGCTGCGTATGCATTAGAAGATGTTTTACTGTCCTTCCCATAGGTCCCACTCGCAGCGTTTGCGTTAGCCGCTGCGTATGAATTAGAAGAAGCAGTACCGTACTTCCCGTGCGTCCCACTCGCAGAATTTGCGTTGGCCGCTGCATATGCATTAGATGAAGCCGTACCGTACTTTCCATACGTCCCACTCGCAGCGTTTGAATTCGCCGCTGCGTATGAATTAGAAGAAGCAGTATCGTATTTCCCGTGGGTCCCGCTCACAGCATTTGCGTTGGCCGCTGCATATGCATTAGAAGAAGCCGTACCGTACTTCCCGTTCGTTCCACTCGCAGCGTTTGCATTCGCCGCTGCGTATGCGTTAGAAGAAGCAGTACCGTACTTTCCGTACGTCCCACTCACAGCGTTTGCGTTGGACGCTGCGTATGTATTAGAATACGTTTTACCGTCCTTTCCATACGTTCCACTCACAGCGTTCGCATCGGCCGCTGCGTATGCATTAGAAGAAGTCTTTCCGTATTTCCCGTACGTCCCACTCGCAGCTTTTGCTTTGGCTACTGCCTGTGCTATGGAAACCGCTGTATTTGTGGGTACATATTTCTTGTAATTTGTATAGTATTTCTTCTCGCCTGAATGAGCCTGCAATTCTTTTGAATCGTCATGTTCGCCTGAACCGTGCTTGTAATATTTTCCGCCCTTGTTATACATATTTTTGATGCCATATGTCTTGTACTTATCATGCCAATTTACTTCGTGCGATTTGCCACCAGCAACTTTCTGCGCCTGTCCGTATGCCGAAGCTTGGGACGTCGCCAGTCCAATGGCTACGGAATGTGGCGACCTTATCATATATATTTTCCCGTTCTTATCGTACCATATTTTGTATCTACCGTCCTTGCCGGTTCTATAAACGTGACCGTTACGTTTACCATCCTTCCCATCGTCGTGGTGTTCGATCTTGTGTCCGTGTTTGCGACACTCGATCTCCTCGGAACTCTCTTCGCTCTGTCCATTTGACGCTCTGCCGCTTTTGTACCCGCCTCTGCCGACACTCACAGTATTGGCACTCGCTGCGCTCTGCGCTACTGCGCTGCCGTGTGTCCCGTGCGACCCGCTCGCTGCGCTCGCTGCGCTCCTAGCTTGCGCGATGGACCCAGCGGAATGTCCGTACCCGCTGCTTACCGTGTTAGCGGCCGCCGTCGCTCTTGCGGCAGCGTACCCTCCTTCCGATCCGCTCGCTGTCTTCGCACTAGACGCAGCCTGTGCAGCGCTCAGCGCACCGTGCGTGCCATACGCACCGCTCAGGGCAGAGGCGGCCGCTTCGCTCCGCGCGGAAGACCCTCCAGTCCCCTTCGTCGCCGCGTCAGCCGCGGCGCTGGCTCGACTATAAGAAGCTGCGTCCCCTCCGTACCCGTAGGAACCGCTCCGGACGTATGCGTCGGCGTCGCTGTAAGAGACGGACCGTCCGTACCCGTCAGCCTCGCTCGCTGCGCTCGCCCTCGCTTGCGCATTGCCGAAGGACAAGCCGTCGGACGGGAAGGCGGAGGCCAACGCGAACGAGGCTACGATCAAGCCCACTGCTGCAAGCTTCATCCTGCTTGAAATTCTCGACAACTGATACCCCGACTGCCGGGAGACGAACGGTTATATACGTCGTGCGGTAATTGTGATAACAAACACTTGCGCGGGCGCGATGACGGATTTCCTCATGCGCCTTCGCCGGGGCGACGCGCACCGCATATTTTGCGCGTATGTTTTGCTCTTATTATCACAGCCGAGTTTACGAACCGCAGTCAATACGTCGCCTCGCTTTCGCCCTCCCTCCTTTCGGAGTCGTGTATGCCACCGATGCGCCCGGTTGTTTTGTCAATGAAAAAATACGTAGCCCACGGTCGTTTTTCTCTCTCTCTGTTGTCGATGAAAACACGCGTTCTCGTTCACCCTGCGAACCGGCTGATCGTTCGATCCTGACGTTTCGCCAAACGAGAAGACGAGGAGAACGCGACGGCAGCGTCTCCGAGCATCCCCGTCTCGAATAGAGCCGAGGTATTAATTTGGTCTTCTCGAATCGGTAAACGCGCCGCGTTACACGCGAGAAAACGCGCGTTGCAATCCGAGATCGCGGATACAAAGTTTGCCGGAACAGCAGTTCGCGGACTAATGCGGAAACTGAGCCGTGGAAGATAGCGCGCCAAGTTCTAATTGTTATGGATCGTTGCGGCCGAAGTTATTTCGTTCTCTGTACGTTAAATCAGAGCGGCGTTAAAGCCGAATCTCGCCCTCCCGAATTATTTCCAGCTCCCCTCGCCTTTTCTCACTCCCCAAGGTGGAATCGGTGAAATTAATTTGTATTAGAGTAATGGCGGGAATAAAGTGCGGTAAATAAAAGTACAGCGAGAGTAAGCGTAGCGCTTTAAGAAGCAAGATCTCGTCGAAAGAATTTGGTTAATAACGGCCGGTGGAGTGGATTTTTTGCAGGTCTTACTTTTACCAGCCTAAATCGATGAAGTGTGGAAGTATGGAAGGGCCTAAGTGAGTATTCCTGATATTGGAGTCCCCCAAAGGAAACCGACAGACTTCTGGAATCTGTTTTAGAGATTGGTTTAAATTAAAAACACATTTCAGAAATTCGTCGGTTCCCTCGAGAAACTTCCACATTTTGTCCGCTCCTTGGCAGAAATGTTGTCACTGATTCGCTTTGAGAGAACACGTGGGTCCTGATCTGTCCCTACACGACCCACGAACTGGCAGCATATAAGATTATCTAAATAATCATCCAGATGAATTAACAGGTCATCTTTATCTTTACCTAGATGGAAGAAATACAAAATATGTTCATCTTCGATTTAGATAAGGAAAAAACATGTTATTTAAAAATTATCCGAACTATTCGTATTCTGAACACACTTTCCGACGAAATGAATAAAATAATACGGACCTACGCGTTAAGCCCGTATCAGACTAGGGACTGGAGATTTCAACGAATCAACAAATTTGGGTTTTGTCTCGTTCCTCCTTAGGGCGAGACAAAATATATTTACCTCGCTTTAACTTGTTGCACCAATTCGACAGTGCAACCAAAAAGAACAGACCATTTGTTTCAATTGTTCAATTCACTTTAAACCCGTATCGAACTGTCGACTGCTCGCTCGCAGTCAATAATTATTGGTCTTTTCTGTTAGATCCTCAAATTCGGAGCGTAATATTGATTATAAATTTTCATAAAGTCTCTCATGAAAACAGTATCATCTAAGAAATTACCCAGATAAGTAGCGCTATTTATCTTATCCTTCACTTCGATCAATCAAAGGCAGAATCATCTTCGCTTCATCTAACACGAAACTTTCGGATTTCCGTCTCATCTTCACCTCGATGCATTTGAAATCACCCAAGGCAAACGCGTCACGTAAGCAGTCATCACGACGCGATACGCATTGAAACGATTTCAAGACGCTAAGATCGCGCAGGGGGGGGG